ACGGTAACTCAATGTGACACCCCGCATGCAACGGATTATATTTGTTCACACTGACCGTAAGATAGAGTATTTTCGACAATACCCATCCGCTATCGTGTTCCTGGAATTCTTCCAGCGATGTTAAGGTGGGCTCGATAACACGTCGCTCGTATCACTCTTCGAGATCGGATGCGAAAAAGAGTTTAAAGTTTTTCGTCATAATATTTTTGTTCGTACGTTTTTCACTCGCGACGAACTCACCGCGACTAAACACAGTGTCCACTTTGAGATTCACGAGTTTTTCCATAACGTTTTGCACATATCCGAGCACAATGTTCCTCGTACTCTGGAAAAATCGAAGAGGTTCGATATAATTTATATTTAAAACTGCACCGGTTAATACGCGGCTATCGAAAGCAGTGTCTATTTCATGCCATAAGAGTCCTAAATGTCTGGCACCAGTATGCACAAAACGCAACGAATGTTTTAGTCCTTCCAGTCGCGCAATTCGAGCAACCAACGATTGTCGAACACCGATCGATAATTTCGGTCGTTTCGCTCGACTATGTCCTTGCAACGATTCGATGCACTCGTCGCACTTTTGCACCCATGCAATATATTCTTCTCGCGAACTCAATCGAGCGGACTGCTCCTGCAGTTCACGTTGAACTCGTGCGAGTTATTCCATTTTTTTCACAAAACGCACTTTCACAAATTGATTGTTTGATTTTTTTATAGCTGATATATATGATTTTTTTATAGTCACTTTCTTCTAGTACCCATTCTTCTTTATAACGTCCTTAGGTGCATAAAGGACACAAATTACATGGAAGTATTTGAAACAGCGGTCTTTTGCAATCTGAACAAAATCTTCCGTCTATCGCATCATATATCTCAATTAGAACTGCATACATATGTGTGAATAAATCTGTCACTCGCAATATACATGAAGTACATAATGCTAAACTACCTCCTGCAGAATAATAAAAATATTTACAGCACATTTTTGTACGTCCATTCAGCGCATTGATTTTCGAATTATATATTAATTTATCAGTTTTTTCCATAAATTGATCATTACAGTCACTATGATAATCACTGTCGCCTGCGAGTATATGTTC